AGGTGAATGGCTATCTTTACAAGCATACAATAATGAACCCAATGCTGACCATCGGAAGTAAGCCAGACGTCTGATTGAAGTGAAAACTTTATACATTGTAATTAACTTGTGCTTTTCAGTTTGTTTGGGCTAAATCATTCAACCAATTCAATCACTTGTCAAATGACCCATCTAATATCATTCTCTTCACTTTATGACTACTTTTAGAAGAGGAGAGAGAGATAACATATGCCACTAATGCACTTCTGTGCACAGTGTTTATGAAAATAAATAAGAGTTACCATGCTGAAAATCACCGGTGTATCTGAGCTATAGTTTTCAGTGTGCACCCTGGAAATCACTGTCGGCGCGGTGGCACCCTCCTAGAAGCTGTAACCACCACAATCACACTGAGTTATGACCAACCAGCTGGATGTGTGCCACAGAAGTGTAAAGAACTTTGAGAACTGACTTTGTTGAAGCATGCGGCTAGAAGGAAATCATTCACACAGGGCTCCCAAAGCAGACAGGCTATGTATTATTGTGTTGAAAAGATGAGTTCCAATGTTGAGCAAAATGGCAGAAACCATAAAAATGAAGTAACTACACCATAGTTTTCTTCTAGTAGCATGGTGTACTGGGCACATGACCAATGATGATTACATGCAACTCAATTACAATGTGTGAACTGTCTGTGTGATAGACGACTCTACAAGATAACTGGGTTACCATGTTAACATTTATCAAAATCATTATATCAACCTTAAACCTATGATTAAGATTGTCATGGCCACTTGGCAGCAACGCCCAACTGTAAATATAACACTGTCATATTAAGACACTTACAAAGTTGATATGGCAAAAAATGTTAGTCGGCTTATTTGCGCGTTGAGCAGACAAATCCGGCACCATTTAGTCGCAATCGTTGTCTGACGTTAAGTGCTAGGCAGGTAGCTTACAGTGTATAGTGGGCTTATCTCTTTTTTTTCTAAAAACAGCTTGCTGCATCTGTGGTGATGCATTTGGGAGCAAGTTGTACAATACCTTCCTCATGCTTTAGTTGCCGTAAAATGGATATTGTAGATTATAATAGTAAGAAATGTTGTGTGTGAACAGTAGCCTAAAAATATATGTTGGGTGTATAGGTTTTGTAGATATATATAGATATATGTAACATGGATAACATATCAACCAGACAAGCTGATGTAGAACATGATCCCCGCAGTATTACATTTTCCCCACAGGTGTATTCATGCTTTGGCGACCCATACAATTACCAAACAGATGCAGGTGAAAAAGAGAATGTCTGCAACCGATTTGCCAATTGTAAAGTCACAGCTGCATTTCATTTATATATGAATCTGGGCTTGAAGATATATTTTACGACTGAGAAGACAGTATTTCGATTAGGATATCTCAGACACAACTTCTAGACTGGAACAGATCAAATGACATTGCTGGAGGGAATATGGGAGGCAACAGTGAAGCAAATGAAGTTAAAAGGTTCTCTGTGTAATCGCCGGCCAGTGCAGACCTCTATTGTTCATTGAAGTGAAAGACCACAGCAAATCAAAACATATCTCTTCCTCTCTCTCTCTTACTCACGGCAACACCAGGCAGAAAGTCCAAACGGATGTACAACAACAGCCATCACCAAACAAGGAAAGAACATGCTGTGTCGTGCCAGATTAATGACTGATATTATAACTGTGTTGTCATAGATATCATATTTTAAGGAGTAATAACTGAGCCGCCTGGAACTGCCTAATAAAACAGGGACAAGGTTTCCAGAGTCTCAAATTAGCATCACTTTTGTGTCTCTTGCATGGCAACCACCAAATGTTAGGTCAAGATGAATCATTTGCAGAGGACTTTGATTCTTAACCAAATATGCAAGGTCTGATCGTGCACATTTGAAAGCCGAAATAAGTGGTTTTCTCCTTCATTTGAATGCTAAACCCCAACAAATCTTGCAAAAATATGAACTCCACTGCAAAACTCCTGAACTGCAGCTCCTCTAAATGAACTTAATAATTAATGATTTTTACTTAACATCGTATTCTGATTCATCAGCAGTCAAGGGGCAAGCCAAACAATAGGCTTTGCTTTCAGAAAATAGTGCATTTATATATTTCTCTTGATAAATAATTAATTTCTGGTTAGTTAATTTTTGATGGGCAATGTATTTCTTGATTGCATTATAAAATGGTGCTTATGCTCATTCACAAACACTCAGACGGTGGTACCCTACTGTTAGGGAGAACAAGAGGGAGACACTGGAGACTGGACAGAAACCGCTGCATTCAGATGACAAACTGTGAGTGTTGAATGTCTAAATAGTTTGTAACAATACAATTGTCACTATTGTGATGCTTTTCTGAGCCTGCTTTCAGCTCCCCCGGGGCTTCACACAGAGCCCCAAATGTGTGTCTGTAGTCACTGACAACGATGGAAAAGAGCAGTGGATTCAACAATCAATGTTAAAACTATGATTGAGTTCTCACAGTCTCAATTCAATATGTCCATGTTCTGTGCATGGGGGTTCAAAGAAAGGATTTTTTTTAGGCCGTTCTAGGAAGAAGAAAAAAAACAAATGTTACTTCTGGAATTGTTAATCAAGGCTTAACATGGTTTGAATGTCATGGTGTGCAAAAATGTAATTAACCACTTGTGATCGCCAACCCTTTAATTGTGAGCCTACGGGGTGAGAATTCATTTTGAACATCATACTATATGAGCATGGTTCGCCTCCATGTGGTCTTACGAGACTGATAGCAGCAGCACTATAGGTCAAACAGCCCCTACTGTATGTCAAATGATTCAGCTGCCTCTCAAAGACGTTGTGTAAGCTCACCAGCTTTTCTGAGAGATTTTGTCACATGTCATTATGTGACCCTGTTGTTTGTTTCTGATGAAAACAGATTTTTTTCAAAGCTCATGGGAGGTAGCCTTCTGGCCTGTACAGCTGCAACCAGCCCCCACGTATAAACAATAGCGTGCTAATACTAGAATACAAAGACAGTGACATCGAGGGAGAGAGGGGGAGATGGCGGGTTCTGCCGAACTATACTAATCTCTATCCACCACAATGACAGATTGAAAGTAAGATACACACGATAGGTTACTAGAGCAGCTCTGTGTGTAAAGGTTGGAAGCAGGAACTGTATTTTCCGTGTCTTATTATATCTGTTTTTGTTCATTTTCTTGCCTGTTAAGAATCAAAGTCACATGCTTTATAGACAATCCATGCGTTGCAGTGCCAAGGTCTGTAAAAGGACCTCTGTGGCTGAATGTTCTCTCTTCAGTCCTGGAAAGCATCATCAACATTGGGTCATCTCAAGCCATGACACAAATAGAGCTTTAAGCTACTGCTGGCATTTTCATGTTGGCAATGTGATGTGAAATGCCTTCCCTCTGAAAAAATGATTACATGTTGCCAGCGTTTTGCCAATGAAAAGGCCACCAGATTGAATGAGGCATACTGAGTAAGGCTGCTTTTCTTCAGCAGGTTCCGCTGCTGTCAGTGCAATTTTCTGCACATTTGGAGACGAAGGCAAAACAATACTGCAGGATGTATTGACTTATGTTCAGTATAATGTCAATTTCAAACATTAAAGCTTAACTTAAAGTTCACATTCAGAATGCAGGATTTTTCACAGTTGGGAGCCACACAGATAAATGTTCAGCCCGCTCTCAACATATTTCACTTCAGTGGTATTGAAATATGTTTCTTGCATTATGGCCATTATTTTCTTTGTTTTGTCTTTTATTATACATGGCATTGTTTTTCTGAGTATATTTGTTGTTTTTACATGTATGTAGCTCATTAGGCTTGCTTTCCAACAAAAACTAAAAACTGCAGTGACAGTTATGGAAGTGCAGATGAATGCTTCCGGACCAATTTCCAAGAGAAGCCACGTCTCTAATGTCATAGACTTGGTATCAGTATGATACACAGTTATCTTGCCTTTAGCCACATAATGACACCTGGAGTAAAAGAGCATGAGCTCCCCTCGCAGTTAGTCAGTGGAACAGCAATCAAAGCAACTTGAGGGAACAGGGAACGGCAACTTTGCCTCACTGGTGACATACCCGCGCACACACAATAAAGCCAGCATACGTGCTTTCTTGCACGCGCCTTTAGAGCCACGTACAACTCAGACCAGCACGTACACAGGAACACAGTTCCAGCTGACTATTTGCTTTCACAGAATCCAATACGGGCAGTAATTCAGTCGTAACACGGAGGAAAACATAATAATACCAGGAAGCATGACCGCAACTCATCCCGTGTCCAATATCCAAGCTGGGATGGCACTCACTTTTAGTTAATGGATCATGCAGTTCCGGGACGAATTGATCAACATGGATGTAAAAAGCCACGACTGGACTGCAAACGTTTTTAGCTTGAACACAAATATTGATGCCGACTCCACAGAGATCTGCAGGCCTGCTAATGCACCTTCACTCTGAATGAATGTTGCCCCTCTAATGCCATTCAATAAAGCCGCGGCAGGTCCGCGTAATATGCCAATTCTGAGATCATTGTTTCTCCCGGTGTTTTATGCTCCATGTTATCTGCACTTCTGCAGCATCACCGCGGGAAGATGCTGTCTCACAACGTGCAAAGAGATCGCAATCAGTGCACCCTAATCGAGAGAAAAACTCATTTGCATAATGTTTGGAGATGATGGGTTTAATAAGGTTATAAGAGTCATGATATCATTGTAATAGCCTAAGAACGCTCCGTCTACATTCGGTCCGGGCGGAGCTTGGAAGGACTTGCACGCCGATTATTTAAAAGGTCGCTTCACAGTGCAAAGAACAAAATCGCCTCAATCCTGAAAAAGGATACCACCGGCCACCTCAGTAACATGCTGACCACGCAACATCGCCATAATTGTGCCACAATATAGCCCTGCCTACCCCATCACTACCTCGTGGTCAGTGATGGACAGAAGAAGAAGAACATATATAACATTCTCTCATTCAATGTTAGAGGTCCAAGCCGGGATACTTACCTAAAACTGACTCTCCCCTCTTAGCTGTATTTGCGGTCCAAGATGTGTTATTGCTCGAGCCAACAACTTCTGCTGGAGCATATGTATCCAGTGCTCATGCTGGTGGCTCAATCGGTGATGTTGGATTGCGGATGATTTGGCAATCCTTTTCATGCTCAAGGGAAAAAAATCCTTCGTTTCGGCGTGGTCTTGGGCATTGGTGCGCAGAGAAATAAAGTAATGAAGTCCGTCAGGAGGGGAAGGAGAAAAGGGGAGCTCTGGTTGTGAGATTTATGCCGACGTGTTTTAAACTGTTCTGTTCTCTCTTTTTTTTCTCACCGAGCCGTTTGCGGTTGGAGAGGTGTGGGATGGATATCTAGGAAGGGAGGCTGGGATGCACAGACTGAGAGCGAGAAAGGGGAGGTACAAAGAATACAGTCTCGTATTGTAGAGGACGGTCATGGCAGACAGTAAGGGGTGGGTCTGGACTGGATGAGGAGGAAGGCGAGGGAACTGAGGGTGTTTGAGGATAAGAGGTAGTGTCGTGACTTTTTTCTACAGATGGGTAACATTTACATCAAGGCTGTAGGTTATACAGTAGCTTGACTGCGATCAATTAAGGCGACGGAACTTTGGGAAACTAAGCAAAGGTGAAGAGAGGCTTTGTGATTTCGGTAAATTAGGTTTTCATAAAAATAAAAATAAAGTGAGAAGGCGGTGAGTGGCACAGAAGGTGTCACACTATGCCACGTGTAGCACTTTGCATAAAGTACAACGTGACTGTATGGATGTGTTAATTTAAACTTGGAATGACTCCCAGCTAATCTCTTTTTTAAAAAAAATACAGCACAGGCTCTGTGGAGTTTGTTCAACTATAGCTAACAAAGTGAAGAGAACACTGTCCATGGTGATACAACATAACTACAAAGCACGCTTCATATAGATGCTTTCCATGGGGCTGAAATGAGCTACATAGAAACAAAGTAATAAACAAAAAACGAATATGAATTAAGGGATTTCAACGACTTGATTAGTATATACTCTACCAGTACATGCGCCGTTCAGTTAAGACTGTTTTCAATATTTCTAGTCAATATCCTTAAATATCGATGTTTTGGGTCGAACATAAAGCGATTCTGCGTTTCTTGAACTGACCAAATGTGGGCTTCAAAGGGCTAAAGAAGCATTTAGACAAAACAAATATATATTTAAATACGTACTGGTGGTTGCTGTCCATGGTGCTGAAAGACAACTAAAGGGTAACATGATGAGTGTTGCTGTCCATGGTGTTGATGGAGACATAGTTTACACAAACATATTTAAAAATTAAATACAAATTCAATATGGAACTACTTTTACAAGAATTGATGATCATACTACTAAAAGTTCAAATGATAATAGTAACAATTACACTGACATGGGTGTATGAAACAGCACACAGTTTTAATGAAGTTATATCTCCATAGCTCAAACCCCAAGCATGTAGAAAATATAATATTCCAATAGGTCTGGACTCCCCTGCATCCATTGCGCTCACAGACAGTTTTGCAACTCCACCAGCTCTCGAATGGTCCACTTGCAGTCGAGTGTTTGAAGCATCCACCACTAGGCAAAAAACCTGGCGGGACGAGCACAGCATAGAACTCAATGAGGCTAAATGGATATGGAGCCATTACAGAGTCATTAGCCTGAAAGTGGCGGTGACACGTGACACATTGCCTTTGCAATATATACATAAAATACCCCAGGGATCATTGACATTGTTCAATTCTATAAATCTATTGGTCCTAGCTTTTAATAAATGAGTCCCCTTCAACTTTGTTCACTTTTAGGACTATTCAAGCCTTACTTGGTTAATTACATTTCTCATAAAAAGTCAGAAATGTATCTTAAGACTATGATTTTTAAGCTCTTTTTGAGGACAAACTGGATTTCCAGGGAAACTACAGTGTGTATTTGCATTTGCATGTCGGGCAAGGCTTTATCAAAGACACCAAAGCAAGCAAAGGTTTTTATGTGGACTTGTAGGTATGCATGTGTTACTCAGCTAGTGCGGAAGAACTTAGGAAAAACAAAACAATGCCTATAATATGCCATAGTGAATAATCTATAGCACTGTTGCTCCGGGTACACCTGTCTGATGAAATATGCAGAGCTGTGTGCGGTCGGTTGACGACAAGCAGAGCGTTGGAATGATGCATATTTTAAATGTCCTTATCTCCAGAGAGGAAGTGATGCTGAAGTGCAGTTGGCACACTAAAAGCAAAGGGGAGGATTATAAGAGGAAGCAAACAGAATTCAAGAAAGTAAGGTCTATTTATTATTTAAATAATGTGAAAAGTGTGATGTGACGTCCTTTTGAAAGGGTAACTATAGATTAAGAGCTTCCTTTTTTGTTTGTTTGTACTTGTTATTGCTGAAGACAGATATCTGGTTAGGAAACAGACTTCTTGGGCATCTAACGGGTATTTGAGTTCAAACTACGCTCTCTTTTCTTCTCATTTTACATTACCTTTCAGGCAACTCATTTAGGGAAAGTAAGCCCATGAAGAGCCAGCTGGACTGCTGTTTCATGGACATCTAATAATAATAATACATTTTATTTCTATAGCGCTTTTCTTGAACCCAAAGACGCTTTACATTTGGGAGGGAGGGTAGACAAACAAAACAAAAACAAAGCCAAAAAGAAACAAAGAAACAAAACAGAACATCATCCAACATCTGAAGGTTTTATTGATGAATTTTGATACAGACTCAAATCCAACTCTTGAAGTCTAACTGAAAGCAAACTGTTATTCTCTGCAACAGCACGCATTTGTGCTCTCCAAGTGACATTAGCCCAGATAACTAAAAGCTAGTAAGCCAACATTACAATGTGTGCTTCTTATTTTTCATTTCTACTAAATAACAATGATTTTGATTTTAAAAACAGATACTACTAAGATTTCAGTTAGAAAACAGGATGTTAGTGGAATCCATTAAAGGTGCGAATACACAGATTCTTGACTTTGGTTTGTGTGTGCTAAGACCCTCGGAAAGAACCAAAACAAAAGGCTATCCACATACATTTAAAATAACTAATGTATCAAAGCCATGATTGGAAGACACACGGTTAATCCAAAGAGGTTGAATGCTTTGGAAATAAACGAGCCAAAACTACTCATGTGTAATATGATGTTATATATTTCAGAAGAAATACCAAGGGTTTCTCATCTGGCCTTCAAAATGGAATGTATTTGGAGTTATTCCTACTTATATAATACCTCTCTATATACCTGCTTTTAGACATATGTACCAGCATGTAGGAATGTATTATTAAGGTAGGAATGTTCCTGAAAGTAACACCTTATTAGTCACATAGCCTACAGTGCAAGCATACTAAAAACATAATGTACCATAATGACTTTCTGTAAGGATAATTAGGGAGCAATATGTCAACATGCATGACATTCATCATCTTATTATTTGTGAGCATGTGTTCCTTAATGTCAAATATTACCAAAGTTTGCAGCTCACAGCCTTCTGGGAATACCACTGTCAAAAAACATAGCTTTAATACTGTGCTGATTTGACGCTATTATCCACATAACGACGACAATTGTGCCATATTCAGCCCAGACACTATATCTTTACAGGAGCTAAATGTATCTGGACTGTAATGATCTCTCATCTCCCTCCTCGTTGGAAGCCATGTGCTGAATCTCACTGCTGCCCAGAAGACTGTTAGCGCTTGCTAGATTGACAACCTACTAATGGCTGGTCTCTGACGCTGAGGCCACAGAGATGTTTCTACCGGGTGTTAGTGCACGCTGTTGTGGAAGCCTGTCACACTGTACCTAGACCTCTCCCTGCCAGGACTATGAAGGAGAGGACAGATGTCCAAATAGCCAGCAGGTCCATCAGTCATGAGGATTTGTGTTTCTCTTGCACGGCAAGGTACGAGGGGTCAAGTGGAAGAACAAACAGATGAATGAGGATGACACCGTTCTGCTGCTCTAATGAAAAAACAAACTCATTTTCAGGAGGTTTCTGGGTAATAAGACAGCAAGCCAGCCAAATGCGAACGGGAAACATAGAAGGTTTGAAAAGTGTTACTTTAGTATTTAAACCACCACCATTTCAGGCTAAATGACAAATGTTGAGTTTGAGAAAAGCAACAATCTAATTTGAAAACAATTAAGCAGTGGTGTTATAGTTGCAGTGTATTTGTAGAACACTGCCTTCAATTATGGAGACGAAACTCATCCAATATTGGGATCTAGAATGTTAAATGTGTTTTATTCTGATCTGAAAGCGTCATGAGTTAGACAACATCGTCAGTCTATGCTGTGAATAACTGTAAAAACAAATCAACCTTGTTTTTAGTACAACACTGCTTGTTGGTTAGGTTAAAGCACTATGCCAACTGGGTTAGATTGAGGTAACAGTTAAATAGATTTCCTGAGGTTAGGATAGATCCATTGTAAAAGTGATTAACATTAAACACATAGGTAACTGTCGGTTGGGAATGGGAAGCAAACAGCTCTCCCACGTGTTGTGTTGACCCGTCTATCAACCATAACCTCTTCTCTACTCCGACTTTGTCAGTCTTTGATAAGGTCACTGACTTCCTTCTTCGCTCTCGTCATAATTATTGCGTCTTTTAAAGGACTTTGTCACTCGAACATAAACATGTCATTTGGGGGCCATTGAAACGAAGCAGTCTCTACAGAAAAGAGGTGAGGAGGGAGGGAATAATGGTGATGCATTCCTTGCTAGGAGACGGAAGATCTGTCAATCTTGTAAATTGGTTTTAACGCAATGTATGTCATACTGTAAGCCAAATAGAAATAAGCTTTATTTAAAGAACCTTTGCTGGACATACTAGCTAAGACATCATTAGGATTTGACTATGATGTCAAAACATTCTGTGTCAGCTGTTCTTCCTTATAGGCTGTTGTGTGCAATGCAGAGGAAGTTTGAAGCTCAGTGACAAGGACCATTAATGAGGTATATAATATGAGCAGTATAACAGGTAATCTCACCACATGTGGCAATGTTGCAGTCAGTGTGTGGGTGGCTGCTCAGCATGCAGTCACCATATTTCTAATTGCCCATCTGGCACTAATGTGAAGGACTGTGCAGGCAGAGGGTGCACACCGAATAACAAAGTTTAGCTAAGCCTTTTTTTGTTCGAGATCTTTGAGACATTCTTGAGTATTGAGTGATATTTAACTATCTGCTTTGTGTTGTTGTTGTTGCGTAATTCTTAACTGAGAAGAGCACTTGACTTGTGGAATGTTTACTTCTTTTTAGACTTCACTAACACTCAAAGCACTGTAGGGCTGTATCCTCACATCCCCTTTCTTTTGTAACCTCAGCTTAAACGGTTGTTTGCGAGATGCAATATGAAAT